TTGGCGGTGTTATGCTTGTGCGGCTCCGCTTTGGGGGGGGGGGGGGGGGGGGGTGCAAGACCTGTAAGTGTTACTTAAAGTAGTATTATACGCTTAGACTTTTTATCCGTAATGAATCCAGACAAGTACACACTGCCGAGCGCAGTATTTCTAATGTTTGCCCAAGCTCTTAGTCACCATGTTTCCAAACAGCTTTCTCCAACTCTCTCAGCTCAGCTTCCCTGAACCTCCAGTCTAGTAGAGGATCACAAGGGACAGATCAGTCTCCAGCAGCTGCCCATCTACTAGCTTGGAGACGGAAGGAGATGGATAGAGCAGGGGGGTGACTTGTCTTGGTGTGTCTATGTGCTTGTGCAGACACACACAGTGCTTTCTAACACACACAAGAGTGACTCCATAGGACCCTGGAAGGCAAAGGAGCCCCCCTAAAACAGGAAGTCAGGACCAGTGCTCAGGGGACCAGCTGATCCTGCAGGAAACTAACACTTTTGAACATCAAGAAGTCACATCCATTGTAAGCGATTTCATCAGCATTTCGCATAGCTTAAAAGGACCCTTTTGACTTTAATATGACTTTAAGACTGTAACTTCCTGTCGCAGCTTGTTACATACACAAGGTAAGGAGTTTGCAGCTTCCGGAGTACTCGAATCCCCAGCAGCCTCAGTGTCTGGCTCATAATCAGCTCAGGCCTTGCAGTGGAAGCTGTTGTTGACATTGGGCTGTCACACTTGCCGGCTCCTAGCCAGTAAGCGGCGGGGTCATATGAGGAAACGCGCGCTTGTGTATGCCAACCAAGCGACCTGCAAGATTAACATTCAGCGCGGCAACGCCTCTACTCCTCGGTAACCTAGATATCGCGGCCTGTGTTCCACTGTAAGCCATTTTAACCCTTTAAAGGATTTCATATCATTTTAGTACATTAGTGTGGTATTGTATATTGGTTCCTAGACGGTATTACCTGGCACACAGTACAATGAGACAAGGAAATGTGAGGAGCTGTCTTGTTCATAGTGTCTGAGTGCTTTTGCTATATATTGTAAGCCCTCACGGGCAGGGCCCTCCTTACCATCGTGTCTTGAATTGTATTGTAATTGTCATGTCTTCCTTACATTGTAAAGCGCTGCGCAAACTAGATGGATCTGGTTATTAGGAGCGGGATAAACATATTTATTTTTAGTTTCTGACCACAGATATTATTAAAGTACGACATGCAAAGTTCTGTGGAATTTCAGGAACATATCACCATGCTGGACTTTAACAGTACCACAAGGCCACATCTAAAATTGAATTCATTTTTATTATATACTGATGAAAACATTTCTATAAAACTGCCGTTCATATGTTTGATATACTGTATATGCACGTGCTATATAGAGGTCTCTGAGGGCTAACCTCATTCTAACACTGGACCAACTACACAATATTGGTTACAGTAGAACTGAAGTATTGAATAGAGTAAAGGTTCACAAGTACGATTTGCCCGTCCAAGGTGGGCAGATCGTACGGGCTTTTAATGAGCATACGACCATCGCAAGACAAAAGTCTTGCGATGGTCGTAAGGTGTATGGGCACCTTAAGGGTCGGTTATAACCCCTGTCAGCTTCTTTCGCCACCTGTGTTCCATTGGGGAGATTTCCCTCCATTTCCTCTCAGATAGCCACAACAGGTAGAGAGGTAATCCCTCGGGAAATCCCTGGTGGGCAGCAGGGTCACCAGAACTAGTGTCCCCATTGGAAGGTTTCCCATCTATTCCTGTTCTGATGACAATCCACAACGTGGGATTTTTTTTCACTTTCAGTGATAATGGTCACCAGGACAGATTTTGAGGGTGACTCTACCTAACAGGGGCACAGACAGCAATAATAACCTGACAGGAGTTCTAATCCCTCTCCACTCTATCCAAAATGAAAAAAGGTTTTGGCCTCAGTTGTAGTTTAACTTCAAACTTATCATCTTTGTCATAGTCATAAATATAATATACACAGTTAATAGTGCAGAGTGTAGGTCTTGACATCTGTTACAATACAATCACAACCACATGCAGTAAATAGAAACATATGTAGAGTATGGGAGCCGTGCTGTGGACCTATCAGGGCCTTTTAAACTGCGGCAGTGGTGCCCCAGCACTAAAGTCCAACAAATAATGAATCCCAAGACGGTGGCCATTGTTTCCTTCTCTATGCTATGATTTATAAAAGCATAAAGTGTCTGCGAAGAACACGGGCTGCGTACAGTTCGGGTGAGTGTACAGCCGCGTACTACCATAGAGAAGAACACGGGCTGTGTACAGTTCGGGTGAGTGTACAGCCGCGTACTCCCATAGAGAAGAACAGGCTGCTGCGTACAAATCACACGCAGCACCTGTCCTTGTCAGGAGCGGCCCGATACAGCCATGCATGCCGCACGGATCTGTACGGGCCGACATCTGTGTGAAATTGAAGTCATGCACCTCTCTTGTGTACAGTACAAAGAGCTTATATTAAGGGAAAGTTAGCTGTTACCGGCATTGATTGTCTCCTAAAAAATCTGCCAACAGCGTGACTTTCTTCAATCAGTTGTCAATTGCCTATAACACCTAGCACTGACTGACAAAAGAACTGGTACATTCATGTATAAATACTTGACATGGTGCTTGTGTCAGTGTTATTACAGATGTTGTCACAATCAAATATTTTGTTCTTTCTTTTTATACAGAAGCCATGTCGTCTGAAGAGTGGACAGCCACAGACAAGGACTCGACGTCCTCCAAGCTGATAAAGAAGACTAAAGAATCCCCATTTGTCCCTATAGGTAACATACCGCAGAGGGCTTCTTTTGCAGTCAGTTTTGAGTGTGGGACAGTTTTGTAGATCTGTGGGGCAGCAGCCTGATTGCAGTTCCAGTTATCTTCCTGTCTATCCAGTGACAGGTTCACTTCACAGTAAATGCAGGATTGCCAGAAGCCATTCATCTCTATAGTAAATGTTCTACTGCCTTACAAAATGTTGTTAGTTTAAAGCCCAACACAACTTTAAAAATGTTTTTTAAAATGATTTTCCCGGCACCGTAAAAACAAGGAAAGTAATAAAGCCGTTTTCACTGCAGTGCTTACTTCCTCTTCCTCCACAGACTCATTACTTTGCATTCCAGTGCTGGTTCTCCATCGGGTTGCATGATGCTCAGCATCACCCGGCCCGCTTCCTGTGATCCCCCGGGCAAATTAAAGAGACTGCATTTTTTACACATACTTTATTTGTTTATCTATTATGTAAAGGGGACAATTTGAAATATATTCCTATTTAATGCCCTCCCACGTACTAGTGGTCAAAGAATATACCTGGCTAGTGTGGCTTCAGCTATAGCAATCCCTTTTCCCTTAACCTTTTTGCGGCCCAGGTGTTTTTGCAAACATTTTAATCCACGTTAGTCCTGTAAATGATATATTTCCTGAAAGAACAGACCCGGTCAAATAAAATGGCGGCAGGTACAAATTTTTAGGTTGCATGATATTAACACAACTCTTTATCAAACCCAAAATTTCAGTAAAAATTATAAATAAGTTAATTTTAGTGCCCAAAAACACAATTTCTTCATAAAATATAAGAGATGAGGTTGTGCTAAGTAAATATATACCCAACATGCCAAGCTTAAAAATTGCGTGCGCCCATGAAACAGCAACAAAATATGGTACCCCAAATTGTCCATAGATGACGCTTTAAAAGCCCGTACAGGTCATCAGTTTATTTTTAGGGGAGTTTTTTATTTTTACATTTTATTTTACTTGATATTTTTTAACCTTTTTTTAACTTTATTTACTTTACTCCATTGCTATCACAGAGGGGGGCTTGCAAAAGGTTTAAGTATTGAGTGATGGGGGAAGAATTAAAGGTTAGAGCAGGTTTTGAAGTTGGGGGAGGGTTCAGTGCAGGTGGGGACTTTATTGTAAGGCACCATTTTAGTTTAGTGAAGTAAAACTTTGTGCTTTTTAACTTGATTTGAATGGCAAACAAATCACTACAAAATCTAGACTGTGCTGGCTGCCTGGTGCTGAAACCTAACACACTGCTGCTGTTACTTTTTATTAGCCAGAAGTCCCTCCTCGTTGTATCCCTCTGAAACTGGTTTCACTTTGTTCTCACTTCAGGATCAAATCCCACCTACCTTCCACCACCCGTCCAGATCAAACAAAAAAAACATTACATAGCAAAGTGTTTCTTTACATTTGTGCCCAAACACTTATAGTCATCATGTTTCCAAACAGCAGCTCCAACTCTCTCAGCTCAGCTTCCCTGAACCTCCAGTCCAATATAAGATCACAAGACAGAGCATTCTCCTGTAGCTATCCATCTACTAGCTTGCAGGAGCAGAGTGGTTTGCCTTGCTGTGTCTGTTTGTGGAGACACACATGGCTTCATAGGACCCTGTAAGGGAAAGGAGCCACCCTAAAACAGGCTATCAGGGCCAGCACTCGGGACCAGCTGGTTCTGCAGAAAACGGAAACTTTTATGCATCAAGTAGCATCATCCATTGTAAGTGATTTCATCACTTAATAGCTTAAATCATTTAATAGCTTAAAAAATGGTTGACTATAACATCACTTTAAATTAGAGCACCCTTATTGGCATGGCCATCCCTACTCTATATGCCGATTGGGGGCAGTGAAAAAGGGGGGCAAGGTTGGGGTATTGGGTGCTGCTGATAGTGCTGAGGGGGCGGAAGTTGCTGCTGATAGTGCTGGGGGGTGCTCTGTGGTGGATTCGGTGGGACAGACAGTTGTAATAGATACATGTGGTCAGTGGCTCTCTGTCCAGTCCTGCCCAGCTCACTGACGTCACTGGTTGCCAGGAGCTAGGCAGCTTCCCGCACAGCTTTCTGGCAACCGATGACGTCAGTGAGCTGGGTGGGAAGCCAAAGCGTCATAGGTTGCTAAGAGCTGATAGCAACCTGGAACCCTTTGGCCGTCCCTCTGCTGCCATCCCCCCACCCACCACCACATTTGCTGATCCCTTAATGAGAGGCTGCCTGAGGCGACAGCTTGATTATAGGGATGACCCTGCTTATTGGCCTCCAAGACACTCTCATTGGACAGGGTGGTGACATTAGGGTGGAGCTTAATCCAAAATAAGAGACTTTAAAGTCCGGAAAATCTGTATTTTGTTAGTATGAGTGAACATGACGGACAAAGATTGAACCTAATGCTCCTGCTAGCAGTCTTCTTCTAAACGCAAGGAACAGCACATACAGTAAACACAGGACCTGGTTCCTCATTGCATATTCTACTGTCTGCATCATATCAGCTTTCCCTGATGTGAAAGAGAAAACCAGTAATCAGCACCTTGTAATTGATGTGATTTAATACACCCAGTAAAGCAGACAACTGCAGCTTTCATCTTTAACACAAGCTAATAGCATGGCCTCCGTGGTCATTTCTTAAATAGGAAACCTTAATGTCAGACAAATCTAATCAGCATGCGGTGAGCCAGCCTGACAAATGACAGTGACATCATTTTTTGTGACTTGTAAAGACCCGGAAAACATTGATTGTGTAATTGTAGACACAGATCTGCAGAATGAGAGAACTTAACATACATATCACTGAAATATGATTTTCATATTGAAAAAGCATTTAGGCCAATTATGACATCCAGGAGAGTCATGACAATAAAACACAGGGCTGTGATCTTTATTGTCATGGTCTTTTAAAGTGGAAGTAAAGGGGAAAGAAATTCTGTGGCAGAAGAGACTGTGTAAGTCTCCTCTGCCATAAACGCTTCTTTTTGTGACACCTTCCATATGTAATCTTCCCATACATCACCTCTCCATTTCCCAGTGCCAATCAGCCACAGTCACTGAATGAGTACCTGCGGTTTGAGGTAGATGATTGTCCCTGGACACAGACAGATTGCATCCAGGGACAATTATGTATTCCAAACCACAGGTAATTGTTTCATGTAATTGTTTCATGTTTCATGAATATCCCCTGACAGATAGATGTGGACACTATCAGTCTGTCATTCACTTGAACAGGCACAGCGGCCACATTTGTACCAACATGTCTGGAATTCCTGCTGCAAGAATCTGTAAGTTCTTGGTGCAGGAATCCCCAGCCACAGCCTTAAGCCCCATGTAAATGTAGCCTTAGTCTTATAAGGAAGAACAGCCTCTGTTGTGGCTTCTTCACTAGATGGAAGCTAGTAAAGCGGAACTAATGCTAGGTAAAAAAAACAAAAAAAAACCAAACAAAAAAAACGGGCTCCTAGGAGCTTTGCACAGCATCTTAACACGTTATGGCAGACTTACCTGGCAAACCGATTCCCCCCTCTCCGGCGTTTCCATCTTGGGCTCAGTCCTGTTCTGGATTTCGAGCGTCTGGTCGCTTGATAGGTTGGGCCCTGATGATGTAACTCCCGCACATCTCGCATACCGGGTCTGCGCACTGAGCTGTTCCTGCGTGGCTCAGCGTACAGAAAACAAATTGCAAATTGATTTTAAAAAACCCAAAACTCAATGGCGGTAAGTAACAAAACAACACACAGCGCTGTTGATTTTTTTTATAGTGTTGATAAAGATTTCATATCTTGATATATTTTAGTCCAGCGTATTGCTGGATGTTGTTACAATGAGCCCTGTAATCCTAATATACGGTATGTAACAAACCTCACTCCTCATTTCTGTGTAATCTTCCATGTAGCATATTACAGAAAGGGCAGCTGAGGACACTCAACTATGACTCAAATATATTCTACTAAATGCCATCAACATCATATGTATTAAAATAACTTTCCTATCTACATAAGCACTCTAAATAGGAGACATGGCTTCAGTCTACCCACCGTGTGACACCCAGTCATCACAGGAACCATTAGTGACCGCTGAGTGACAACAGATTACAAAATGTGTAGCCAGAAGCCTTATCACAATTCTATGCATTTATCACCAGGTCTGTGCTAAGAACCACGGAATATAAATTTCTAGTCCTAAAATGTGCTAGCTGAAGACAACTATGTATATTCTGGGAATATTTACAGTGTTTTCTACTATACCTGTATGTTTATGCAGAATCTGGAAAGAACGAAGGTGCCAAGTCCTGTCATTGAGTTTCCGCTCCAAGTGTTTATCTTTTTCCTGCTTTGTAGGCATGGAGGTAAAGCAAGAAATCACGTCTTCTGTATTTATTTACTAGAGTTTAGCACCAGAAACACCTTGGCGATCATGATGTTATTTCTCATATAAACAAGTGTGTTGGCTGTAAAATACTTTGTTAAAGGAGAACTATGAGGTGAGTGCCATCAGTTGCAGATCCTTTAAGCCCTGTAAGTTGTGAGGTGAGGCGTCCATGGATTGGACCACTGCCATCAGGGAATACCTTTTTAATGTGTACTTGGTCAGTAACAATGTTTAGGTTGGTGGTACGTATCAAAGTAACATCCACATGAATGGCTGGACCCAAAGTAACCCAGCAGAACATTGCCCAAAGCATCACTCTGCCTCTGCTGGCTTGCCTTCTTCCCATAGTGCATCCTGGTGCCATCTCTTCCCCAGGTAAGCGACACACATGCACCCGGCCATCCACATGATGGAAAATAAAGCGTGATTCATTAGACTAGGCTAGAGCTGCAACAATTATTCGATTAAAATCGACTATGGAAAACGTTGTCAATCAATTCGTCGGCTAAAATTCAAATTTCCCGCTCGCCGCTCACGCCCGCTGCTTACGACACGCCCACGTTGGTTAAGCCACTGGCGCCTACGCCGGTATACCCGCTTACGACACGCCGCTTACGCCACGCCCACACTGAGGACATGCGTCTGGCCCTCTCCTCCCGGTGAGCTGCCCGATTCGGCGCTGCCCGCCGACAACGAACAACACCGCTGCCCGCCGACAACACCGTCATTCAAGGTAAGTCGAGATCGGCGGCCGGGAGCTTTTTAATGTGTTCTGTGTGATTTGTTTTGTTTTTTTGAAGCGCCACACTGCAGAACACCAGCAGCTATAGAGGAACACCAAATCCCAGCAATAATATATTAAACACCCTGTATAATGTATTATTGCTGGGATTTGTTGTTCCTCTATAGCTGCTGGTATTCTCCATTGCGCTGTATAATGTATTATTGCTGGGATTTGTAGTTCCTCTATAACTGGTCAGTGGTAATCTGCATTGTGCAGTATAATCATTATACAGCACAATGGAGAATACCACCAGCTATAGAGGACTACAAATCCCAGCAATAATACATTATATACAACGCAATGCAGAATACCAGCAGTTACAGAGGACTACAAATCCCAGCAATAGTACATTATAGTATAATGTACTATTGCTACATTCCTCTATAGCTGCTGGTATTCTGCACTGTGCCGCTGTATAATGTACTATATTGCACACCACACTCTTTTTTTACTTCCACCGCGCCAAGCTTGCTCCCGTGATGGACTACAATCTCAATAGAAACTAGTAGGCCATCACTGGAGCCTTTTTTTAAAAAAAATCTGATTAACCGATTAATCGAACTTAATAATCGGCTAACTAATCGATTATGAAAATAATCGTTAGCTGCAGCCCTAGATTAGGCCACCATTTTTCATTGCTTATGCTCATATGCCCATTGTAGTCACTTTAGGCAGTGGACACGGATCAGCACAAGTACCCTGACTGTTGTGAGGCTACACAGCCCCATATGTAACAAACTGCGATGCATTGTGTGTTGAGACACCTATCGGAACCAGCATGAACTTTTTCAGCAATTTGAGCTACAGTACCTCTTCTATGGGATCGGACTACACTGGCCAGCCTTTGCTCCCTACATGCATCAGTGAGCCCCTAAACTATAACTTAGGTGTTATATACCAAAACAATTATTTTATTTTTTTTAGCCGTGTAACCTTTATTTTCAACTCTCATAGACTCCCATTGGTGAAAATAACAGTTCTATCAAATGAAAGTACATTTTAACTGAAGTTTAGATTTAGGTGTGCAACTCAAACCCATTTTATTTTTACCTGTAGGAATGGCTGGCTTTTTGGGAGTGGTGGCTTTTGGCCTCTACAAGCTGCGTAGCCGCGGGGACCAAAAGATGTCCGTGCACCTCATTCACATGAGAGTTGGGGCACAAGGATTCGTTGTTGGTGCCATGACCTTTGGTAAGTTATTTCTCCAGTAGTGGGTATGGTTTGTGCTCGTATAGGTAATCAGATTGGGTAGATAGCTATAGTATCCGCCATCTGTGAACCGGTCCCTGTTCTCAGTGGATGGCCTTGATAAACGAAGGGTCAGTTACATTAACTGCATTCTTTATGCTGACCTCATTTTCTTCTCTTTCTGGTTTAGGTGTATTATATTCTATGTACAAAGAGTATATCAAGCCTCGCTTTCATCATAAAGATGACTGAGGAGCCCAGTCAAGAAGACACAGCACTCTTCTGTCCATAAACCTTGTCTGGTACCCATCCAATAAAACTGGCACAAGATTAGCAGTATGTTTTAGAATCTGTTTTATCTAGTGTTACTCCTCCTCTATTTACTAATACTAGGATTGTACTGTAACTGTTTTATTGCTGTATCTGATTGTCACCAATCTTCCTGAAACACTAAACACTGTGGCTTTCTCTATGATATATCAACTAGCACTAGACTGAATTCTCTGTACAGATGCCCAGCCTACTGTACGTCATGGTGAAGGATGACCATATTGTTGAAGTTAATGCACTTTTTCATATTATCTGTCATTTATTTACCCATTTTTAATGTGTTTAATGTTTGTAGGTCAACAACAATGGTAGGATAGGTGCTGGTGTTTAATGATTATAATATTCACTTGATCCTGATGTTGTTTGACCATTTTTATCATCACTTACGCTATTTAAAATGTTGCCTTTTCACTGCCCAACTCCATATAGTAAGCTAAATTTATGAAAGTGTTGGCCATCTGGTTGCCAGATTGAACAGCTAGGCCCTGAGAAATGTCAGCATTGACTGCATTATCATTTGTGTGGCCTAGTAGGAAATCTCAGAGATGCTGAGGGGAGCTAATAAGATTCCTTCTCTCATTTTTACCAGCAAAAATTAAAGCATTTAAGAAAATATCTTAATTGGCTATTATGGGCAACATTTTTACTAAGACCTGAACCCAATCAATACACTTAAAGTTATTAACAGCACAGTTTGAATCAGCTTGGTGTCCCTAGTGCAGGTAGCTGATAAGCTGCCAACATTTAATTATAAACAAGAATATGTTCAAAGCAGGCCAACCAGTGGCCTGTACAGGTCCAGCATAGTGTTTGCATACCTACTGGATGACATAAAGGACTGGTAGTATATGAAAGGTGAAGGTCACATGCTGGGGTCTGTACTGTACTGTACCTGCTCCTGCCATAGCACACACACACCTTTCATATACTGCCCCCCTCTTTGTGTACTGTGCTGGAAGTATGCCACCACTGGGCTGGCTCTGTTCAGGCTGCAGGCGGAAGAAGGCTTTATGCTTTGGAACAGTGCAACCTCCTGGGTGGCACCCAGATTTAGGCTTGTCATACACTGATCCATCTTAACAAAATGAGAGAAAAAAAACACTGATTCCCCCATCCATGCCGGGCTATTGTGCTGACAGCGATAGGTGTGCCGCTGTCAGGATACTCAAACAGAAACTGTAGCTCATCGGCTTCATTTTGTCCGACATGTTACGGCCCAGCTCCCTAAACAAAAGTTGTGTGAGTAATTGACTTTTTTTTGGCAGGGTCACCCACTATAAAAATGTCTAACAGCGTATGGCCAGCCTTAAACTGAGCAAGTTAAAGTGCTTTACCGAATTCTAAACCCCCCCCCACAAAGTTACAGAAGAAGTTGCAGAAGAAAATATAAACTTTGAGCAACTTTTACTAAGGCTACTTTCACACAGGCCCCCTGCATTTGGGTTTATTTAAACGCAGGAAAAAATACCTGGGAAGTGTAAACAAACATATTTTCCATATCAAGTTCACCTGTGTTTAAAATGTACGTTTATGTGCATTTATGAGTGTTTCTATGTGTGTGTAGACGTGTTCAGAATGGATAAGTACAGCTAAACTGAAGCAACCTGAACGCAAGTAAACGCTCAGTGTGAATGATAACATTTGAGACCATTACATGCATTTACAAATGTTTACAAACGTCCTGTAACGGTATATAAATGCACATAAACATAGGTACGTGATTGCCAGTATGAATGAGGCTTTTATTTTCTGCGTGTGTCATATGTCACTGTACTGTATACAGCCCATGTTTGTATAATACATGGGCTGTATTTTAATAGGAAATGTTAGAAAATCCTATTGTATTTTCTTAGAAAATGTTTCTTATAGAGAATATAATTATTATTATATACAGCAAGTGCCAGTGAGTTGCAGTTATATTGTTGCCGAGAGTTGAACTTAATAAACGCCACGCACCACGTACTACAAATTGTGGAATCGTCTATTTGTCAAGCGTTGCACATTACACGCTGTTTTCTGTGTGCTGACCACCGTCCATGTCCTCTGAAAATGCTTGTATTGTAGACTGACAAATCTTTGTGTCACTATAATAGAATATTTAAGTATATTTATAGGCAAACCTTTGTATTTTAGTTTTGGATAGAGTAAGGAGGGGTTGCATCCCCTGCCTCTGTGTCCCGTTAGGAAGAATGGCTTTTACTTTCTGTCCCAGAGACTCAACAGTGAAGGCCGTGACACACCGCACGCAAAGCCGTGCAGAGCGGAGCAAAGCTGTCCGGCACGGAGCTTTGCCTGCAGTGTGTGAGCTGAGTGCAGGCAGATGATTGACAGCACCTTCAGCCAATCGGCTCGTGCATAACAACCAGCCAGCTGTCGCATGCTGATCCGCAGGTTTATACGTGCGAGCCGATTGGCTGAAGATGACATTTTTCATCTCGGCACGCTCAGCTATGCGAGCTCTCGCAAGCTGACGTGCCGAGGAGAAAATTACATGACACACTGCTTGCGAAGGCATCGCTTTCTTTGGACTGTCGGTCTTGAAGAGTTGTCACTGGAACAGGTGTCCCCATTGGAAGATTTCCCATCGCCTCTTGTTCTGGTGAATCCTGTAAAATGTTGTATTTCCCATCAAGCCTTAAGGTAATCTGCAACACAGATGCATTTAGAAGGTGCGATGATGGGGTGCCATTTATTCTAAATGGCACCCCATCATCGCACTTTCCAAATGCAAAAGTGGAAAGTACCATTTATTCTAAATGCCACCCCAGCGCACCCACACGCAAATTGTGTCATGCATTACCACAGCGCAGTAGTGTTAATCGAGCCTTAAGGGGACAATATATGCATTTTAGAAAGTATTGCGGTCTGTCTGCAAGAAACATTATTGTGGGTGAGTCCTCAGCTATAAAACAATACCGCTGACAAATGTATAATTTCCCATTTGAAGAAGATGACACCTGTCTGTATTTGGAAGATGGTGAAGTGCCTTCTACTACAGGACATGGCGTGGAACACCCAGTTCATGTATTTTCAGTAATCCCGGCAATGAAATAAAACAACGTCAGCCTACTAGGTCAGAGCAGATGAGAGCTCCTTCTGTGAGCCTGTCCAGTGCCGCTCTGTATAAATGACATTTACTCATTATTAAATGGCATCTTAACTCATGTTTTGGATATTGTTCTTTGATAATTTTTTGTATAAAAACACAAACCAACATACAGTATCTTCCATAGGGTCACTTTTATTGAAAACTATCCAACTAGCACTTCTGTAAACAAAAGTTCCTTTTACTTGGATAAGGCACATTGACAACCCACTGGGCAGTGAAATTCATCAGACAGAAGAGGCATTTACAGTATGTTACAAAACACTGTACGAGGAAACACAATACAATAACATCAGGTGATAGAAGACTAGTACAATATGTCTGGTTGGCAAGACACTTTCTGCAAAAGAGGAAACAATTAGGGGAATTTATCAAAACTGGAGCATCTGTGCATGGCAACCAATCAGCTTCTCACTTTCTTTTTCAAATCTTAACTGAAGAGAGGAGCTAATTGGTTACTATGGGCAACTGCTCCAGTTTTGATAAATTTCCCTCAATCTGTTTGTGGTACCTCCTGTGATCACATCCTAGGACCTAATTGTTTTCATTATTATTATTACAACAGATATATACAGCAGCGTTTTTCAACCTTTCAGACACGGGCCTTCTAAAAGTTTGCAAAATATTATTATTAAAAAATGATGTGTAGTCCCCTCCAAAATCCATACCAGACCCTTAGCCTTGATATGGCATTTGGTATGGATGTCAAAAAAAACCCTCTTCACATTTGATGGCACCCCTAAGGAAACCATACGGTACCCTGGTTGAGAAAGGCTGATACATGGTACCAACATCTTCAAATGAGGACATCATACAGGGACTCATCACTAGGGGTGTGCAGCCTGCAACCTAGGTGACACCATTGGAGGGGTGACACCAAAATGACTGACAGTCATTTTGGTGTCACCCCCCCCCCTGAAAAGTCAGGATCTCAGTCATGGACCGAGAGCTCGACAATTGCCCGAGAGAGAGGGGGCACGGCGGCATAACTTATCCTGCTGGGTGAACGTCCCCTCCTCTCTCTGCCAGTGTCCATCACCTAGATGGCCGCACATGCTCGTGACGCCATCACGAATGTGCGTGATGACGTCACGTGCATGCACGATGATGTCACGGCATGGTGTCACCCGGTATACGCTCCAGGTGACACCTGGCCTCGGGACGTCCCTGCAGGGACTATAACAGTTATTTATTAGAAACATCATTAAATACTTGAAACACCTGAAATGAGAACATCCCCAAACAGCTTAGAGATTCAAGAGTACCTGTCATCTACTCATAATAATGACAAAGAAATGATCTCTGATAAGAATCACCGTACTCCCAAGGAAGTAGTAACACCATTGTAGCCTCCATCACAGTGAACCGCATCCTCCACTGACGTCATTGGGCTCTATGAAATACCAGTTAGGTACTATTTTAACTACAAAACAGATACTTTTTAAAATATATTTTAGTATGATATGTAAGTGTAGATAAGACATGTTCATACTTGGCTCTTAGGATAGTTTACTGAGAACGCAAACCTTTAGGGATGTATTTATAAAATGTTCGCAAAGTGAACAACTCTCGGAACGTTTCTGAGTCTTAGATGCGCACTGCATTATAGGAATTTCCTATACTCCTCAGCTCTATCTAGCTGCAGCACAGAGACATATGCTAGACATCAAGCTGGCTTCTTAAACACAACTTTTCCCTATGTGTGTGAGACAACAAATGAAGTCTATCTTTTCTCAAGAGTATTTTTGAGACACGGTAACCAGAACAGAGAGATGATTGTGCAATGCAGCATATTTACATAGCCTGTTGGATAGCTCGACCATGCACAGTACAGCACTTGGACTTTAGTCGAGTGGTAGTCACATGGACAGAAACATGGATACTCCGTTGCAAGGTTACACCATGGACATGAAGGGGCCTATTCTGGTGCATTTACAAGCACATGAGCAAACAGTGAAGAGCATATATTACTGCAAATTGCTGTATTTAATTGCTAACAAAATTCTTTGTTTACATCTTGATGCCAGTGGCGGCTAGATTCCGAGGTCGGCAGCAGAATGTAAACAATGGGGAGCTATAGCCAGCCTGCTATTGCCTTTTTCAAATTTCAATATCCAATAGCAGGCTGGCTATAGTGCCTGCCCACTGAGCAGATGAGTGGACCGGAGAGAGAACTTTCTCTCTCAGGTCTGCTCCTCTGCTCAGTGGGTGATGATTAAATAATCTGCCTGCTGATAGCTATTGCAATTTGAACTAGCTAATAGCAGTCTGGCTATTCCTCCCCATTGTTTACATTTACCTGTCAGCTGTGGTATTTATACACATACAAAACACACAAATATAAACCAACATGGCTCATCTCAATATTATTTACTTTGGTACGAATGCAATATGGTCGTGGCCAAAACCAGATCACTAAGCCAAACAGCTTTATGCCCCAAAGAGTTTAAAGTGTACCGTAAGTGTGCTTTCAGAAAATGTGAGCTAACTCACCCTCTCTGCCAAGGAGGTCAATGCTGTCCTAAATAAGTAAGCAGCTGGGTTGGAGGGTTTCTATAGTTTAGCTCAGGAGGGCTAGGCAAGGTGGGACGGTGTACTTTGTCTGAAGGTGCACTTTGGGGTCTATTTATAAACAATTTCCAGAGCCACTCGAATGTAACATTCAGAGAATACCGAATTCGGGACATTTTTTCCCCATATTCCATTTAGTGGCCATAATGTGGTATTTTCTGAATGTTGCACTTGACCTGAAAAGAAAAGAAAAAGACAAAAAACTAAAAGGAGAGCCTCCATGGTGTAAAATGACTTTTAATGATAAAAACGCACAAGGTTTTGAGGAAGGGGGCGTGCCCCAGAAACATGTAAGCCGAGACCACACAGGGGCAGTGGGCGCTGATGCTGCACATTTTTACAGACTTCTGCTGTTAGATGATTTGACATCCCATTGTTTTCTACATGCCTTTTTACTACCGACTTCTTGTAAGTACATTACAGTTGTGCGTTTTTATCATTAAAATTCGTTTTACACTATGGAGGCGCTCCTTTTTGTTTTTTGTCTCTCAGATTGAAGGTTTGACCTTTGGGAGCTGCCTCTTCAGTGTGTTCGTTACCATTTCAACGGGCCGATATTGCACGTGGAGGGACCGGTATTGTTTCCTGTCACTTGAAAAGAAAATATACTAAGAGCATTAGTTTGTGCCCCTATTTGCATAGAAAAAAATGTTTACAGAGATTTGCGGGGCAAATGGTTCGGTAATTGTTTATAAAAAGACCCCTTTCTAAAGTTTACCGCTGAACTTCAGCCTGGAAAGAACAGGAGAGGATTATAACTTCTGCCAAATGTTTCACCCAGTCATTAGAGACACTTGCCACCACTGCCTGACTCGGTGACACGATAGGAAGTGATGGAGAATCTGCCTAATTGGGATGCAGACAACAATAATAACTTGCTCCTCCCTTTCTATGGAACATGTAAAATACATTCTGTCTGGAATTCAATTTTCATTTAATAAAATAAAGGGAATAAAAAATCAGCCCCAATCACTCTTTTAATGGGAAGTGGTGGCTGTACTGGAATAAGACCCCTTAAAAACACATGTAAAAGTAATAAAACGTTTGTGGCACATTACATGCCAATAGTACCATTAATGACATTTTAGCAATATCAAACTATCCACTTCTCGTGAATGGGGCTAGCAGCATTATTTAAAAGTTGTGCAGCTCACAGCAAAGCTCTTAAAAGCAGCAATTAAAAGTATTCCAAAATATGAATTACGTAATGATATTGCTGTACAATTACAAGAATGACCTTCTTCTAATAAATATAAAGATACCCTAGAGGTGAACATCTTTACCTCTTGACAGGTTGTCGATATAAACTAGTAGTATATGAATATTACAAAAAAACAAATACATATCAATCTTTTCCATAAGACACATGATCACATCAAATTAAATTAAAATCAACAATATGTTTAACCTTTATAAATAATGACCAGTGAGGTAATATTGGGCAGATTCAGGTTCAGCAGGAGGGGTTTTTGTTTTCTTTCTTTTTTTTCACGAACGATCTCCATTGATTGGGTATATGATGTGAACGCGGGTTTGTGGAGCCATTTTGTAATAACTCATTTAGTATTTCTTTAGTAAATCAGCTCCTAATATGCTTTGCTTTGTTTGAAGACAAAAGTAACCTGGACCAAAGGATATCTCTGATTTCACCATGTCCATGAATTACAATTTCCTAGAATGCTATTGGATAAATTAATGTAAAATAACTTTGGATTAAAAGTCGTCCTTGGGTTTTGGGAAAACTGAAGAATTGTGAAATTAACAAAAAACAGCAAAATTGACATATTCGGAAATATTTGATATGAATATAAAATCATGAAGTACTGAGGATAACACTCAGATGTAGATTGTTGATCCAGGGATTATCTGATTGCCTTAGGGACTCAGGAAGGAATTTTTTTTCCCCCATTGAAGCAAAGTGGACCATGCTTTATAAGGGCTTTTTGCCTTCCTCTGGATCAACTATAGGTTCTGTGTATGCTGGCTTTGATATCTTTAGTCATTCGTTTTTCTATTGGTTGAACTCGATGGTATTGTGTCTTTTCACCCTGTAATTACCTATGTAATTATGAAGGTATAGTATACAGGCATTGTGTATTGCATAATTATGTTGATGATCTTTTTGCTCTACTTCACCTGCTACAAAGTTAATTTGGTACTAATAGCATGGCACCTCTGTACTCCTGAGTGCTTCTAGATGTGGTGTCTAGAAGGGCTAATCAGTGCTGTGCCATGTGACCCAGCATCATCGGGGGGTCGAGACCTCTTCTTTCTCCATATTGTGTAAGAGGAAAAGCTCTGGATAGTTGCTCAGGCCAAGGTTATACTGCAAAAGAACAAGAGGGAAGCAATGTCAGGAAGCAGTCAACTGGAAACCACATTTCACCCAATTACCATAATGTACAGTATATACCTAAAACACCACATCCAGTGCAGAACCCAAAAGGTGCAAGTATACGGCAACATTGCTTTAAAGAAAACATATTGTTCATTTTAAACTTTTACAAGTGAAAATCCCGCATAACAGCAGACACACAAGATTTAGTGTCACTTTGTTACTCGTGCCTGACATTTGTTGACTTCATAGGTAAAACTGGCAACTGCCATTCCACTGACCAATAAGAATGTCTCCATGGACCGTAAGCACACTCTGATTGTCAATTGGCAGAGCTTTGCCATCATTTCTGGAAAAGTCAGACCCCTTTTATGAAATTAAACTAACTCACAGAGGAGCTTATAAGAGGCTTTTCTTGCTCAGGTAATAGAAGGCATCTTGCAGTGTGCATTACAATGAATTCAATTTATAACCAATCAGGTTGGGCCTCACTCTGCATAGTTGTTGATAAATTTAAAGCAGAGTGTTCAATCAGAGTGTCACATACAGGTGAAACTCGAATAATTAGAATATCGTGCAAAAGTAATTGCAGTAAGTGCTGCAAAAGGGGCCCAAACCAAGTACTGAGTACATATGCATGCTTGTACTTTTCAGAGGTCCGATATTGTTCTATGTACAATCCTTGTTTTATTGATTGCATGTAATAATCTACTTTTTTGAGGTTGTGGATTTGGGGTTCTTGGGGTTTTCATGAGCTATAAGCCATAATCATCACAATTATGACAAATCACGGCTTGAACTATCTTGCTTTGCATGTAATGAGTCTATCTCATATATTAGTTTCACCTTTTAAGTTGCATTATTGAAATAAATGAACTTTGCACGATATTCTAATTATTCGAGTTTCACCTGTATATAGCTGACATTAGGAGGGACTTTCACTTTTATATGAATAAAATGAAGTTCACCTTCAGACATAAAAATGTGTAACAGTGGCAGGGAAGATAGATTTATGATGGATCAGTCATGACGGTCATATGCAGATCAGTTTCAATGCACCTGACAGTTAAAATAAGATTTTCCGCATGTTAGATTCAATTCATGTTTACTAAACAGAGTATTTATATTCCCCTTTTATAAAGATTTTGTGGGAATACAAAGCTCCATGGTTCTCCAGAAGGGACAAGGAAACTCCCCATGCATTATATTCTAAATATCAAAGACATTGATTATTGCCCTTGGCAATGGTCTTATATTTTGTTGTAAATATCAATCCTTTTTTATGTAGTTTGCTTTCCAACATAAAACATGCAACTGCCCAGATAGCACAATACATGTACACACATAACACAGAGTAATGACAAGGAATCTTCCATGGCTGTACTTACACCATTCACATCCACAGGTGGTAAAGGCAGCTTGTAAAACAGTAAAACATTACAGATTCATGGGCACGCATTTAAACATGTTCTCTATAAATGTCACTCCACATTACAGAGAGACTAATTCGTATCACTGTCACTTAGCAAAAAGTCACCTCGTAGGACGGGCGCTTTCCATTTCACCTTTTACAGAATGACATTATGATAGATATTACACAGCTGGCCTAGACACATTGATTTGAGCTGGAAAATTGTACTGCCAGGTGTGGGATTAGTATGAACCTGTTCAACACTAGAGGGAGACTAAGGCCAAGCATCATTGGGCTTGTGTCAGTGACATCAGTTTGAGACCCTTCGGAGATCATTCAGAACTCGGAGACAAGTTCATATGACCTGCAATTAACCTGTTTCTGACCTGCGTTTAACCTGGTTCAAGGGGGTTTTGCATTCCCATAAACCTGTATAGGAATGTAAAGCTCGTCTGAAGCAAGCAAAGACCCATAGACATAGGTACTAAAAGTGTTCACTTCTATAGGCTCTAGTGGCCATTTTCTGTTCAGGTTTTGTCTCTCAGAAGCAAGCATGTCAGTCATCTTGGTGTTCAGGAGAATAAAGAAAAAAGGGTATATGGTTCTTCATAAACTCGTATATATGCTGCACTTTGCACAATCTTACAGTCAGCATTTTGTGTGGCATGGTTATGGGGTGTGACAATTTGTGAGTGACACATGGCCAATGGTTATTTTATAAATTCTGAACAGAATCCCTATATTTATTTATCAGGTTGCCCTTTTTGTATATAATGTGTATGTATTTTTTATGAAATATTTGTAGCAGTTTACCATTATTCGCTCTATTCCTATTATTTAAGGTTGTCAGGAACATTGAATCAGCTGGGTTCATGCACATGCGTGTGCACATCTCCATTAGAGTCTTAAATAGATGAGCAACATATGCACAGATTAGCAAGCATGCGCATTAGTGTGCAAACATTACAGCAGATGCGTGAACATGGATGCACGCCTGGCACTGGCACCAAGCAGTCTATTTCCAGCAGTTATGCAGAGCCTCATTGTTGAATGGTCTTTCAGTCTGTACTCCTTTGACCTGTTACTGACCTCAGCCCTGACTTCTGACCAAGATTCTGCTCACTGACATTGTACCTGACTATATGCATGTTGCTGACCTTGGCTTGTCTCTGACCTTGATACTGCTTATGATTTGGTGCCCTGCTGCTTGTCTGTTAACCACCACAGCCTTTGACCTCACTCCACTCCCATCTGAACTTGGTTTATCTTTGGTGCATTGCCGGTTGATACCAGTTCATGGGTGCTCGGACAAATATTATGCAAGAGACCACCCTTGTCGTCTCGGACTCCTCATACAGATACGTGACAAAGGTCTACCATTCAATTTTTTATTGTAAAATGAATGGCTAAAATCTTCCATAGTTTTCATGTTCCTTTCATTTTGGTGTGACTAAAAAAATGGCAGTTGCTGATATTGCTTTCAGAAGAATGTTGGTCTTGGCCAGGTGCATGAAACAGCTGAATATTTGATATGGGTGACCCCTCAGTTGACTGGTTGCTGTGGATATGTTACTGGGGAGTTTCATAAATCTTTTGAATGAAGCCCCTCTGTGTGTATCTGATCTGATAATTGTATTTGGCCACTGTAGCAATTCAGTACTATTTTGGTCAAATGTTTTCATTTTGTTTTTTTAAAGTTTGTATTTAAATTGTTTTTATGTTGTTCTATTGGATAAATAGTTGCAAATGCATGTCGTAATCGTGGTTCTAGTAACTGTTAATGAACTAATAGCACAGAATAGACTGATCTGTCTAAAGATGAACTGTCTGTGGTGCATCACACTCAATGTGATCAGGGCTGGTTATTATTAAGAAAACTAGAGTAACCTAATGGCTTCTATGGGTTACAGAGACTGAGATAGTTCTTTTCTCAGGTATGGCTTTCTTTATTTGGTAGCAGAAGCATGCCTCCACAAAAAAAAAACTTAACTGCAGAAAAGGAAGGTGCACAAACACAATAGAATGCCCCAACACCACCCCACTACTGGCTTTCTGTACTGAGCCATCATTCAGGAGGAGCTTGGCAGACTTAAGAAACACCCGTGAAGCATCCCCTTTTGCATGGCTTGTGACTCTTAACCTTACGACTCAAGTTTGCCTAAATAGGAATCAGCTGCAGACATTGGAAGGCATGAGAAGAAATTTATATTTGTCACTAGGGGTAATTAGACTATAAATGACTTCCAGAGCACCTTGGAAGCCCAAAAAGCTGGCACAATCTGTTATCCAAATGTTGACCAAATTGCTGAAGGTTATCCTATAGCCCATCCCATCACCTATCAATTGACTAGTAAGGTCCTGTGCATTCCCATTTTGGCAATAGGGAAGCACAGGGCCAGGAAGGCATGCTTTAGAGCCTTGGTTCTCAACTGGTGGATCGTGACTCCGTTTTCAGTGGGTCACCACATGCCTTCCACTTTTCTAGGTGAGAGGCTCCCCAGCCTCCCCCTAGCACAGCACTGTCCATTCTTACACTGAGCAGTCATTCAAAATATGCTGCCCGACTCCAAGTGTTGACTTGGGGTGGGGTGGGCTGGGGGTATGGCCGTGAGGCAGCTCCATCCATACATGCAATGCTTATAGCTCCCTCACATGTCTTGTAGAGGTGCCTGGACCGAAATGACATCACATTCTGGCTCCCGGCACCTCCACAGGGTGAGCACGGGAGCTGTACAAGCAATGCACATATGGATGGAGCTCCATCACAGCACAGCAGCCCACACTGCCATGCATTCCATTGCAGTGCAACTTGGGTCGTGACTCAATGATCGAGGACAAATGTTACACAGGTTGAGAGCCACTGCTTTAGAGCATAACCATATCTTGAATAATAAAGTGCACTGGGAATTGGGACTCTAGAGACGCTCTGAACATGAACTAAGCAGGCATGCAAACACCTTGAGGTTTTGGGGGGCTCATGTTTAGTTTACTCATTTGTATTGATATTGTAGTCCATCACGGGAGTGAGCTTGGAGTGGTGGCTACTTAACAACACACAGGGACCATGAGGAACAAAAGTAGCCACCCTCCAGAAGTAAGGACAGTGTCGGCATTAATTCAGAGATGATTTGAGGATCTACAGCTGAGTGATACATAAATAAGATACATTTTTGTTAATAGTTCAGGTACTTGAATGCATTTTTAAGATTTAACGCCTGAGTTTCTTATTTAAGACAAAGGATGCCAAGGTTCCACCAGTCATTGAAAATGCTCTATAGCTGTAGGGCATTTTGGAACTTATAAAAAGGATATTGCAGAGCTCCATTGCAGTTATAAATACTTCAACAGATTAGTTGTTTGAAACAACTTAGGCTGGCCTAAAAATGTAAGCATAGGTTGGGGCAACTATACAACTATGCAAGGACCAGGCAACACAGATCTTCCATAGGTGGCTTTAATGAGCGCATCCAAGTGTCAGCACGTTATTCCCAAAAAGAAATGTTTCAACTTCTGAATGGGCTTGAATAGTTCCCCTTTACTGTAAAGAAAAATATTTATTTGTATGTCGGCTGATAATTCC